TCGATCGTCATCAACAACTGTTACAAGCAGTAAAAAAAAAATAAGATAAAATTCAGACGCTCTCTGGGTAAAATTGCGCCATTGAGCCAGTAAAGTCGTAGGAATTTTTTGTGCATCGTGGTTTCCTATGCACTGAGCCAAATTGTAGAGAAACAGTTTTGCAGTAGCAAAGATCCCATGGATAAGTGTACTCAAATTGTGCACAGTGTATGGGCGCAGGTCAAAATAATTTGGTTCACTGCGGAAATGTAGGATCGTAGACATGAGTCGTATGTCCACCACCTAATGCTGTCTCTTTCCCTGGCCAGCTGTTGCCTCTTTTGTTGTTGTGGCTGCTCGTTGGTTCGTGTGTTTGCCACGTGTCGTTGGCAAAGCCAATTAACCAATTGGCAAGAACCAGAGAGAGAGAGAGAGAGAGAGAGAGAGAGAGGCGGTATTTACATATACAAATTATATGCAAGCGAATTTGAAAAGTGAACTTGCGATTAGGCCAATAAATAGGTGAATTTTATGCAGAATGAGCAGCTGTAAAATCAATCAAAAACTTGTCAAATAAATGTCAATGCTGCTCGATTACAATTCCTTTTCCGCCGACTTATACGCATGCATAAGCAATGAGCGCAATGCATCCTGTTCGTGTGTATCCTTTGGGTGCATAAATTGTCGTTTATATTTGCGTATGTTACAACCAAAAGTGATCTCTTATGCATAATTTGAGTCCTGCTTAGCTACAATTGGCGCGCTGAACGCGCAGGTACTCAACGACCTGGGCAACAACCGCATCGCTGCATTGCTGCGACCGAGCTCCTTGCTCCTGGGAGAGGCGGCGCGTGCGCACCAGCAGCAGGGAAGCATTGTGCATGGCCTCAGCTAGTCCTTGATTGATGGCAGTCATACCACGCAAAAAGCAACTGTTGCTGTTATCAAAGCTAAGACCCAAGGGCGCTAGTGCCGCGCCCATTGCCTGGTTCTGGCAGAGTATTGGCAGCTGAGCCATTTGCTGTACAAAGCTCTGCACATTGGACAGCACCTGTTGGCCATCGTCGCGATAGGCTCCTATCATGCCGCTCAGCCGCATTGTGCAGGCTCTGAGCTGATCTGTCACATTGATTGTAAACTCCTGCATATTCCAGGCGGCATTGCAGCTGGGATTGGCCATCAGCAGCTGATTCGTGTCATCAATGGCAATGCTCATCTCTGCCATGGCATTGGTGGTCATTGCATCAATATTGTCCGTAATGTCCATCAATGTGCGCTCTATATTCGCCTGCAGTTGTGAGGAGGTCTCGTCACTGACGTCCACTGCCATGTCCGCAAGCTGGTCAATCACCATGCTAATTGGTCCATATTCTGTGGTCTTCGTTTCCGTATGGGTCTCAGTGGTGCTGGTGTCTTCAGCATGTCCACGCTTTAAGGAGGATGGTTAGGAAACTGTATAAAGCACTTTATCAAATATATACTAACAGTCAGTGCCAGCAAAAGCAGGCTTAATATTCTTATTGTTCTGCCCATGATGCTTCAGTTCCAATTGCTGGTGGGAGCATTGGCGACTACACATATATATTCCTAAGCAGTCAGTCATGATAAACAAAACACAAAAGCCCTACACAGCTTCTCAATTCACATGATTGCAAATTGAAACAAATGGAAAGATAAGAAGTACAGATTGGGTACACCGATAGCTTTGCACACTTGCCACACATTAGCTTTAACTATTTCTTTTTATATTTTTTATGAATAAACAAATTTGGAATATATTCCCAACAGTGCTATTTATTTAAGTTCCCTAGGTATCGGGCGTTCAGAATCTTACGCAAGTGTTGTAGTTCAATGTTTTCCGTAGAAACTTAAAATCAAAAGTCAAAAACCCAAATGTGTCTCATGTGAAGTTTTCGTCGTTTTTGATTTTCTACCCAAATGCGCGACAGTGCCAGTACAACCTTACAAAGGTAAAAATCAAAGAAGTACCTTCGCATGACTCAGAAACGTTACCAAGAATGAGTTCCTATATTTCCCACCGTTCTTGCTGCCGTCAGTGGCCACTAACAATAATGAACAACACAGATAACAATTTTTAAGTGTAACTGCATTTACAGTCAAGGTTATCAATCGAAAGCTCAGTTGTCGATGAACCGTTCCTACATTTATTTTAAAATTCATAATGAAACTTAAAATTGAAAAAGTTGTATACATTTCTTTATCTATATCTATATCTATATCTATATCTATATCTATATCTATATCTATATCTATATCTATATCTATATCTATATCTATATCTATATCTATATCTATATCTATATCTATATCTATATCTATATCTAATCTATATCTATATCTATATCTATATCTATATCTATATATATATATATATATCTATATCTATATCTATATCTATATCTATATCTATATCTATATCTATATCTATATCTATATCTATATCTATATCTATATCTATATCTATATCTATATCTATATCTATATCTATATCTATATCTATATCTATATCTATATCTATATCTATATCTATATCTATATCTATATCTATATCTATATCTATATCTATATCTATATCTATATCTATATCTATATCTATATCTATATCTATATCTATATCTATATCTATATCTATATCTATATCTATATCTATATCTATATCTATATCTATATCTATATCTATATCTATATCTATATCTATATCTATATCTATATCTATATCTATATCTATATCTATATCTATATCTATATCTATATCTATATCTATATCTATATCTATATCTATATCTATATCTATATCTATATCTATATCTATATCTATATCTATATCTATATCTATATCTATATCTATATCTATATCTATATCTATATCTATATCTATATCTATATCTATATCTATATCTATATCTATATCTATATCTATATCTATATCTATATCTATATCTATATCTATATCTATATCTATATCTATATCTATATCTATATCTATATCTATATCTATATCTATATCTATATCTATATCTATATCTATATCTATATCTATATCTATATCTATATCTATATCTATATCTATATCTATATCTATATCTATATCTATATCTATATCTATATCTATATCTATATCTATATCTATATCTATATCTATATCTATATCTATATCTATATCTATATCTATATCTATATCTATCTATATCTATATCTATATCTATATCTATATCTATATCTATATCTATATCTATATCTATATCTATATCTGTATCTATATCTATATCTATTATTTATTATACCCCATTGAATTATGTATACCCCATTGTTATATGTGTGTATACTGACGAGCTTATTATTAACTACCTTAAGATTAAAGCTGAATAAAGTGACTGTTGTTGTATATTGGCTTGTGATAGGAATATACAAGATTAACCTCATCTTATCAAACTATTTAAGAAAATCCAAGTGTGGTCGCCGATAAGGTTTACAGTCCATACCTGTGGTAATCGCGCTGGCCAAAAGAATAATAGTCCAAGCACACGAAATGGACTCCGAGCCAGTTGGATTACTTCATTTGAGGCAGCAAAATGGTGAAAGTTTCTCTGCTGTTGCCGCTGCTTGGCTGTATGCTTTTGGGTAGAACCTGGGCGCACCAGGAGTTGAGTAATCTGCTGGAGCAGCAACAAAAAGATTTGGGCTTGTCCGCAGCAGAAGTAGAAGCTTTGCGTCCATTTTATCGTGAGCTCCAAGCACAACATGACTACTTGTACATCCTGAGCATGCAGAGTGGGGATGGGAGTTCCCAGCTTGCCCAGGCAACGGGTGCGCCATTGGAGAGTAGCTATGCGCAGGTGTTTGAAGAATTTCGAGCTCAATTTGATGGCTATTTAAGGTATAGGCCCAGCATTGAGTATGACACAACGTTGCCGACTTTGGATCAAGTGCTGGGACAACCCAGTGGTAATATGACAGATCAAGAGCTGCAGGAGTTACAGGATCTGTTGGACATTCTACAGGATGTAATCGACGAATCGCAGGTGGGCATTAACCAACTGGTAGCACGCGCAATGGACATGGAAGTCAATTTGTTGATGCTGAACAAACCGAAAATTGTAATGGCTGCCATTGGTGGGCTGGAGGTTATGTGGCATTCGTGGGGACGTGCCTCTCAAGCCGCCTACTGCAGCTACTCGCATGTACCACAGTTTACGGAGGCAATACACGCCATCAATGGCGGCGTTGATTGCTACACCTACACGATGGATTTAATCCTTCAAATCCAGAACGAAACAGTGGCATCAGTCAAGGAGATCAAACAAAATGTGCAGCGGCTTGTGCAGATCTACAAAAAGATTGCCGCCAAGAAAACTATAATGGGCAAGATTCTCTCCGGTACGCTGAATGTGCTGAGTGCACTGCGTCGGGTGCATGATATCATCGCCGTGGGCATCGCTGTCTATGACAAGATCAACAATCAATTGCCAAGCGCTGCATTGCAATCGGTTCATTGCGGATCTGATTTTGTGAACAGTATTCCACAGATGAATGAAACGGCACAGAATCTGACAGTCTGCATCACTTACGAGGACACCAATAAGCCAGACTATGATTTCCTTAAGCCGGAGGACGAACGCTATTGGAACACAGGCGAACCCCCTGTGGATATACCTCATGAGAACGACGTCGAGGAGGACGACGATGATATCGACAATATTGAGGATGACTACGTAGACCATCGATAAACGTACTCGAAGAGTATCAATACATAGCTCACATTTATATAAATCAAAAGGAAAATAAATCTAACAAAAAATATCTATGTAACAGTGTGAAAGCAATTACTAAGTTCGTACACTCTTTTTACAAATTAAATATCCTCGTAGGCGTATGGAGTAAGAGGATTTTTATACAAAAACTTCATTTCCGATCGATTGTTTCTATAAAGCTATGTAATATAACAGACCAACGTTCGTACGCTGTTGCTTAAATAGGGATCTAGAAAACTTCAATCTTAATGATTTTTATGCAAAAAATTTATTTCGACACTCTTAACATTCATATGATATATGTTTTGTCTGTAATGCTGTGTAACAATAGCCTTCGAGCTACTTAGCAGACCGGCTTTATATAAACACAACAGTCGGAAATGGCATTATCGCCTTGGCTATTAATACAGTGATTTATATATGAATTATAAACCCGCACGGAACATGGGTTCGTCAACTGATTTGAACTGAATCAGTACGTCAGCTATTTTTGCTAAGAAGAAGCTAAATATGGTTCATTCATTTAGGATTTTTTCGTCAACTTTTCTTTAGTTAGTCATTTGCAAGAATTCATTCGATACTCAGACAATAACTTAAGGTATTTGATTATGGTTATATTTGGTAAGTACTTTAGTAGCCAATGGGAGGACACCCACTGCTATGCTTAGATCTAAACTTAGAGGTACTCGTTAATGACTGACTAGACGTCGCTCTCTTTTAGCTGGCGCACAAACTGCTCGCTGAGGGATTTGTTGATGCCCTCGTAGCTGCCATGCAAATTCGATATAGATCCCGCAGCCAGGGCCGCCTGTGGTGAGCTTTGTGACTTGTGCACATTGCGTGCGGGCGAAGAAGTGGAAGCACTGGGACTGGGCGGGGGTCGGTCGCTTCCAAGGACCTGTGGCAATGCAATCACATCGGCCATCAGTGTTTGGCGGCAGAGTGCGGACAGAGCACTGCCACACGGCATGGGGCCAGGTGTATCCTTGGGCTTTTTGCCGCCACGACGCAGCTTGGAAGCTAATGTGGCAAAGCCGAGCTTGCTGGAGATTCGAGCTGATCGGCTAACAGAACGAGGCAAACTATCATAGGCGCTGGAGTTGCTTACGCTCTCCTGATCCGTGGTCACTTCCTGTTGCTGCAGCTGTTGTTGGTGTAACTGTTCTGTGGAACAACCTGCACTGCCTCGCATGCTGCCCACGCTGACGCTCTTGTGTAGCAGAGCCGCATCGTTTAGGGCAACGGGCGTCGTCGGCTCCTGCCTGGGCGTTACGGGCGCACTTTGCAGAAACTGTGCCTTGGCCTGTTGCAGGCGCAGGGCTCGCTCCGACAACGGCGTTACTGGACGTTGCGGTTCCACAACAGGTGGCGGAAATTCAAAATGTTTTGGCTTTGTAGGCGTCAGCAGGGCCTTGCCCTTGCCCTCGAGCTTGCGCTGTATGCGAGGCAGCGTATTGTCCAGCTTGTTGGGCAGCACTATGGACACCGACACTGGGCAGGCTCTGCTCACAGTGGAGCCAGAGCTGGTCTTGGCGATCTTGTGCTCAATGTTGTTGCTGACGGTGGCGCTTTGCGACTTGTGCAGCGAGTTCTTCTTGTAAAGATGCGCCTTGCGCGGCGGCACTTGAGGAAATGCAGACGTAGCCAGCTGGCGCTTGGAACGTGCCAAACGCTGAATGCTATCGCTAGCGAGCGGCGGACGCACCATATTAGATGAACGATGCATATTCTCGCTGCTCTGGCATTTGCGCAATTCATCTTTGGGTCGCAGCGGCGACAAGCGCTCCAAGCTGATGGATCTGTAGAGACTGAGCGGACGCGGAGCTGTCAACTTTGTCGCCAACTTGGAGTTGGGCGACAGTGCTTCATCAACGCTATGCGTGGGACTCTCTAGCTCCTTTTCGATGAGCGCTACGCCCTCAGCTGCCGTGGGCTCCAGCACTGTGGTGAACAGCTTGCGCTTGGTCTTTATAAAAACATTGGCATTGGTGTTGTAGCTGCGCGCATGCAGCTCCGGCAGTGGCGGTGGCACAAACCCACTCGGCTTGGCCAACGACTGGGCAATGCTGCTGGCTATGCTGTGTGACTCCTCAATCCGTTCGCCGGGCTTGACCTTAAGTGAACTGCAAATGATATCATCCGCCTCTGCTGGCTGCGTATGGCCAGTGACTAGCATGGAGCCCAAGCGAAAATCATCATCCAAGGAACGCTGTTTCAGCCGAAAGTTCTTGCGGCGCATGCGACGAGGTGTCTCCAGCACACTGTGAGTATCCGCATCACTGCTGTCGCTCTCCGTTCTGCTGTTCTGACGTGAGCCCAACTTGCGTAGACGAAGCTTCTTCTTGGATGCAGTAATGGAGCTACTAGCTCGGCACAGGGTACCCGTTGTGGTACTGGTCTCTGTCTCGTGCTCCATGGGTGAAGGTGAGGCAGCGCTGTGCTCCTCCAGCGACAGACGATCGCGACTAGAAGCATCGCAGGTGGCATAAGCGGAGCTGCTCTCCAGCTGCTGTCCATCCTCGCCAGTTATGTTGATGTCAGGCACAATGTCGCGAGGGAAACGATTCGTGCCGCCCTCTGCATTGGAATTGGTAAGAAGTAAGAATGATTTATAGCAATAGATTATGTAAAACTTACGTATGCTCAACTTGAGGCACAATAGTGATTCGTGTAGGCCCTGCAGCTCCTCCATGTACTCATTAGTGCGCTCCTCCATTGTTTCCTGACAACAAGCCTCGTCCAACGGTGACTTTAGACTCTGTAATATTCGAGCGCATTATTATAGTTGGGGTTCAGGCCACAGCCAGTTGCACCCACCAGCTCAGCCAAACGGCCCAAATCACTCTGCACATCGGACACGGCGTTCAGCACGTTCGGCTTCATCAAATTGTTGGAGTAGTATGGATAAATGCTGCGTATGCTAAGCAATGCAGTTTGACAGTCCCGCATTGCCGCCTGCTCCACAATGTCTGGCGTGGACTGTTTCAGCTGGGCAAACAGCTCGTCGGCACGTTTCAGTGCGCCCAGCAGCGGGGCTAAGTTTGTGTGCGACTCAAAGCTCTGGACGCGACGCGAGTTGCTGTTGGCATGAATGAGGAAAAGCGTGATTGGAGGAAGTAATTACCCAATATTGAATGGGTTAACCTACACATAGTCATTGCATTGCACCTCCTCGTATTTGTAAATGGGCGTTTGCTGCTCGACCAACGTGTGAGCAGTGACCAGCGGGGAGGCCGTGTCATGTATGTGCTCCTCTACTTCGACCATAACTGCCTCGGGTTCGTCGTACTTCTTGAACTCGTGCTCGCCCGAATCTCTACAGTCGTCCATCTCCTTCAAGTCGTTGACATCGTTCAGGGACAGCGACGAGGCCTGCTGCGATATGACCTGTGCCTGATTGACGCTCGGAGCCACACTATCCAGCGACAATGAGCGGCTCAATGTCGGCGAGTGCTCGGTGGTGGCTATAAAACAAATATATCATTCCATCCAGTTATACCAGATTTTTTAAACAAATTCTTAATCAATATTCCCATTCAATTTCCCACAGTAATGCGTGTAGCTAATACATCTTATAGGGCTGGATTTTCGATTTAGATATTAGTCCAAGGCCCTAATTTTCACTCTTGCACTCCTGCTTCAGTCAGTCAATCATGGACTTACGCTTATTGCACTCCTTGTTGATGCGTCGCACATCTATGGGACAGTAGCCAGGATGCAGGAGAGCAAAGGTGGAAGCCTCTGGTCCGATGCCTCTGGCCTTCTCCCATTCGTAAAGTTTGCGTGTGAATTTGCGTGAGATGCCCTCGAATTTCATCACCTCGCCATCTGAGGTCTTAACCTCAATATTCTTGGACGTATGATCTGGTGCCACAATGGCCTTAAGGCGCGCCAATCTGTAAGTAAGCAAGGCAGATAAATAGCAACTGATCCAGATGGTGGCAAATGACACACTGGACACACTTTTCATTGTCGTGCGGCTTATGCTTGTACCAGCGATCATCATCAGAGCCGCGGCGCGTGGACTGGCTGTGCTTGGAGTTACGCTTGAGGGAATCATTGTCGGAGTTGGTGCCGCCGCCCGGCGCACATTTTAAGCGATTCCATTGCTCTGGTGAATACAATGTGTAGAAGTAAAGATCTATGCACACAACTGGAGACAACTCACCCAGCTTCTTTTGAAACTTTTCGGGCAAATCCTTTTGGTCTGGCAGCGCACACAAGCCCTGTCCTTCAAGCTTCAGTGCGCCCGAGCTCCAAAGATTCCAATCGATTTTAGGCTTCAAATCGCCGCCACTTAGACTCTTGGCTGTGGGACTGGCCGCTGGCTCCGAGCTGGCATAACAGTTGGAGTTCTGCTGCTTGGCGCGCCACTTGTGCAGCTTCTTCTTGAACTGTGGCGTCAGATTCTGCTCTAGCTGCTCGGTGGACATAAGATCGCTGTGCAATAGCTGTGTAGGTGAATGCTCCTCGCTGCTGCGTTTGCCGCTGCCACTGCCACCGCCGCTGCACAGCTTAACGCCTGGAAATGAATCGGGATTAGATCTGGCCGGGGGATTACCTGGATCTCGGTCGTGTGGCTTACTGCGATTACTCGCGCTGGGTCGTTCGAAATCGAGTTGCTTTCGCTTGAACTCCGTATCTAGTTTGAGTAGTAGAAGTTGATAATGTTGAAATACTTCATCTTCTTTCTGTGTGAAAGTCTTACAGTTTGGCGTAGTGGGCTCGGAAGAAACGCCACTGGATAGTTCCTCGCTCTCTGCAAAGCCGATACGTTAATGGATACCGTAAACATGGCATTGGTAGCCACCACCAAAAGCTCACCCACCGAATTCACCAAAGAAATCCGAATGCCTAGACGGACTGCTCGGCACAGAGGAGTTGCCCGGAGAGCTAACCTGACGCATACGCGACATGGCTTGACTGCCATCCTTGGGACTCTTGAGCGGTGAGTGCAGCTGTGGCAGATCGCTGCACACCTGGTTGAGATTTAGTGGACTGGGCGGCAGCTTGTTGCGTCTAGTGCTCGTTGACTTAATGTCCGCCACATGATCTTCTGGCAGCACCTCAAAGTCGGAGAAGGCTTTCGAGCGACGTAAGGATTTATTCGAAGAAGATTTGCTAGGCAGCGCTGATTTGGCCGTATCTAAGCGCTCATCGGTGGCGGACTTGCGCAGCTCCACCTCATAGTTGGAGGCATTCGTGTCGCTCTTCGATGAGTGGCGACCTGAAAGGAATGAAAGGAGCAGCTGCAGCAAAAAGTAGGTTGCAATTTGAGCATGGCATTTACGCATAGCCTGGCGACTGCCAGCATCCGTGTGTAGCTCATCCATGGAGCTGGCCGAACTGATGGTGCCGGGCGTGCCGCCCGTTTCGCTCATAAAGTGGCCCGACGAGGAGCTAATGATGCTGTCCGCAGAGCTGCTGCCGCCAGCAGTACTAATGGGCACCTTTAAATATCTAAGAAAGATAACAGGATTCCATGATTACCTCTACGGATCAGTATATGTAACTCCATTACCTTTCAACTTCTAGATTCAGTGGCAGCAATAAGTTTGATTCCTGGCCACTTGTGGGCGGCACATTGGCTCGCTCCCATTTAAAGGCAGCTTTTACCTTGGTCCACTTGGACACCTTCGACTTGTTGTCGCTGTAGGTGGACTGGCGGCGCAACAAATATGGACGCGATGAACTCATCTTTAGCTGGCGTTCGCCCTTCAAATACATATGTATCTCATCCTCCATCATGGATTTGCTGCGCTCGCGTATTCTATGATGTGGCTTTTGGGCTTACAGATAACAAATCAAAATGCAACATAAACATACCGTTTGAACTTGCCCTGCTTAGTGGGTGGCACCACCTCAGTGCCTAGCAGTGATTCCAACCAGGTCAGCGAGTGCTCCAGCTCGAACTCGTTGTCGCCGGTGGGACTTGTTGTCGCTGGTGCTGGCGTTCCTTTTGGCGTAGCTGCCGCTTCTAATTCAATCTCGGCCGCTGGCTCCTCCTCATTGTCCGTGATGGTGGCCAGTTTTTGCTCCAGCAGGCCCTCAAGCAATGCGTAGGTGCGAGTGAGCTGATCCATGGCCTCAATGGCAGTGTTAAGACGATTCTTGAGCGGCTCAATTGTGCCACGATCTGCCCGGTACGGCTGGCAGAAATAACAGCTATGCTTCCCATGCTCGCACACCGGCAAATCCTTCTCCTCGCGCAACTTGGGCGAGGCTGAGAGATTGCGTGCACGCGACGCCACAGCGGGAAATTGAAAAATGTTCTCATCGGCACGTCCGCACATGGCAGGCGGGGCCGTCGGTAGGGATTCATAGTGCATAGCACTGATTCTATGTCGCGTACGACGCGGTTTTGGCGGTGGCGCCTTATCCATGGCAAGTTGTGAGTCCAGCGCACGACCACTTCTATTTGCATAAATATCTATGTATGTATGTATATATATTTGTGCATGTGTGTGTATGTGTGTGTCTATACGCGTATTGAAATGCTCAATTGGCTTTTGTTTGTTTACTCGGCGAGATACGCCACTAGAAATACACGCAAGCCAAGAATATCCCACGAATTATCGAAATCAAAAATTTGTTTATAAAAGAGGAAGACAAATGTGGAACGTCCGCCATGCACACACACACACACACACACACACATCAATTGGCAGACTTGTATGTTGTGTGTGTATATCGCATATAGGGTAATTTAAAATGCCTTAAAGTGTAACGCTTAAAATACATGAAATAAACAATAAATTTGAAAAACGAAATTTTAGCACGTTTCGCCACATGTGCAAAAGTTTTGGAAATATTCGGAAAATATTTACGCGTGTGTGGTCAATAAACGGAACCAAACGGAGCAACACAATTGGCGAATGATGGATGCACTTGGTGCCACAAATTGGTATACAAAGATTTAATAATCCAGCAATCGACAAGCCTCGAGCTAAATCACACAATATCACAATAAATAGAAACAATGGCGTAAACTATTTATAAATTGCTGACACTCTTTTGTTTGGTCTGCTGCTCTTCTCCTTTCCACCTCTTCCCCTTGCCCCTTTCTTTTTAGTCCGTAGTACACGCCCCCATCTCCTGTTGCCAAAGTAAGCACACTGCCATTATTTCATTTTTAGGTTACACGCAATTAATACTTCCAAATTTTTGGGGGAAATTGGGCCCCCTAGGTGCACGCAGAGCCGTCCGGAATTGGGTATGGCCGCATATGTGTGTGCGCGTGTGTGTGTGTGTGTGTGTGTGTGTGTGTGTATGTCTGCGAGTGGGGCACATCATGTGTATATCTTAAGGCCCATTACTTTCACTAGGCGTTCGTTTCGCCACTTTCAGAATGTTAAATCGGAATTGTTGCCACATTGAATACACATATTTTACTTTATATTTCAACGCAGAATATACACAAAATGAACAATTTATGAATATGTATCTTCTTGCAATTGCTAGATATTACACGTAAGGATTTGCATAATAATGGTACAACAAATTATTACTTGCACTTTTGTTATGCATACAATCACCCGCCCCACCACAGAATCTCCTTTCTGCGCTGTATTGTATGAGATATTTCGCGATTTTTCACGCCGCGAAGTCCGTATTATGCCGTTCGTTGGTCGAATCTATTCTGAGCACAAATGCACACGGCGAGCGCTTGGCGTACTTATGAGAAAATCGAACATTTTTATTTTGTATATGTATGCCATTGAAAGTGTTGCTCTTGATCGGCTTGTTGGTTTCTCTTTTAATTCATTGCTAGAATGAAATTTAATAGAGCCATTGTTTATATTTAATATTCGTTCTATTAGTTTTCAAAGTTGATTTTTAACGTACTCTTTAAAAAAATCCTTACTGAAAATAATAACTGTCATTTAACTGGCGTGTCTCTGCTAAATTTCCCAAATATTTCATTCAACTTGGCAACTCTGCACGGTGTGAAACTTTGATTATAAGTTAATTTACTGACGTGTGTAATCCCTATTTAGAATATCCCAATAAGAAAACGTTAAGCTAATAACCGACTCATTTGCGCTACCCAAAAGAAAAACAAACAAAGTATAAGGTTTGGCACCTTATAGTCAAAAAGAATAATTGGGAAAAATTCGTCAAAATAAAACAATTGGTTCAGTTTGCTGTTAACTCTGGACTTCTGTATCGATAGATTTGTGAATATAAAAAAAAAACATCGGAAATTTGGCGACACGATAGTTTTCCAATAGTGCGCTGGTCACTCTACTCTTGTGTTATGATTTTGTATGGAACAGCCGGGGAAAAGTTAAAATTATATAATTATAACTAAATAAATAACTCCAGAGATTTGAATTAAAACAATAACAGAAATGTTAACACTTTTATCATCAATTCGTGCCCTTGCCGTGCGCCAGCCAACGGGAGAGGCACTGCGCTGCCTACACCTGACTGCGGTCACGGAAGCGGCGCGCAAGGGAACCCGTGAGAAAGCACGCAAGAAAAAGGTTAAGGTTGAGGTAAAGAAAGTGGGATTCATTCCTCATAATCAGCGGGACAAAAAGTGAGTGACAAGTCTGCAGATTCTAGACATTTTATTGCTATAACTTCCATTATGTAGAATCAATGTTAAACGAGCTGACAAACACGTGGATGACTCCTGGAAGCAGGTGCCAAAAGATGACGTCTACGTGGGTCGCTATTACCGCTGGCCGGTTTATACTGTAGCTGAGGCCATACAATGTCATCGCGAGACGCATCATCCTAGTATGTACAATGTGCCAAATGCTTCTCTAAACGTAGAAATCGAGCTCAACATGCAAGGGGAAAAGGCGACACGATTTGTGGACAATTTCCAGCGCATGGCCATGATACCACATAAGTTTCATCACGGCGAAGATCGCAAAATCATAGTATTTACTAAGGAAAATGTAAGTTTTTAAAGAACAAAACAAAATGTTATGCTCGTTAACCCATGGATTTTCAGGAGGAAATTACAAAGGCGCGCGAAGCGGGCGCCACGCTTGTGGGCGGCGTGGAGCTGATCAAAGACATAACAAACGGCGAGCTTTTGCTTTCCGACTATCAGTTCATTATTGCTCATCCCAATATACTGGCGGAGCTCGTCGCACTACGTGGCCTGATGAAGCGCAAGTTCCCCAATCCAAAAAGCGAGACACTGGGCACAAATCTTGCCGAAATGATAACCAAATTCTCCAATGGCATTAGCTACAGTGCAACTAAAGACGAATACCAGCAGAATTTTGGCTTAATAAAAGCCAATGTAGGCACTTTGGACATGGATGCACAGCATCTGGAGGAGAACATACGTTTTTTGTTGCAGGATGTGAACACAATGCGTCCCAAGCGAGATGGACGCTTTATCACACGTGTTCTCCTTAAGAGCGCGCCCAGTAGCGAACAGCTGAAAATCGATCCATTTGTATATATACCTGAGTTGTATGACAAAAACGTTGCTAAAGCAAGCAAGGAAGCCAGGAAGGAAGCGGAAACACCAGAGCAACAAGCGGCGGCAGCCGCAGCGAATTAGTTTAAAATATTGTTGTCTTTTTTAATGCTAATGGATCCATTTGTGCATTAAAGCTCGGAATATATAGTTTAAACATTATAAAATTAAAAGAAATGTTTTAATTCTACACAGGAGCCATTTTATCTGTCTTTGGGTTTGCTTATGTATAAAATCTTCGATTGGTTTATAAAAAGTTAAAAAGATATTTGTGTGCTGCGACAATTAGAGAAACTTGATCTGCTGACAGATACATACATACACTTACACATGTACAGGGTTAGAAGACTTTGAAGAATTGCACTATATAATGCACATATATATGAAGTATATATGACATAAATATGCTATAAATTCAGTACACTTGTTGCATATCCAGTTCACAACGTAGCTGAGTCGAATAATACATAATATTTTGCTTTGAAATATTTGCTTATGCTTTCAATGTCGCGGTGCTGCGCTGCTGGTGCTGCTGCAACATTTCCAATTGCTTGACGCGCGTATATGCGGCACTTGCAACCAATACAACTATATTGGAGGTCCACCAGATCGCGGAGCGTACATCGTTATAATACTGCGTGGCAATAACTGTTTGGGCGCACGCCTTAGCCGTGCCCGAGATGTTGTGCGTTAGCGGTGAAGTAACCTGTAATCAGCAGATGTTTGATAAGTACATACCTTTGCTAACACTAGCAATTGACTCACTTACCTTTATCTCCAAAGCTGTGACAAAGCCAATGGCAAAACCACAAAATCCACTGAGCGTCATAGCTGCCCAAAACCAGGCAGCCCACAAATGTGGATACGCCCAGATTGTGCCTAGCTCACCATTTAGAATGATGAGTGGCAGGAATAGAAGCGTGGAGTACAGATTATTGTAGTAGCTAAGCAGCCAGATTTCCTGGTTGACATAACCCAGCGACTTTTTGGTTTGTATCGAGTACATGGCCAGCGCCAGGGAACTGAGCACACCGAATATTGTGCCGCGCCAGGAGAAGGCCGTCGTTAGGCTCTCCTGATCCACGCCCAGCCAAAAGCCCACAACAATGGTGGCACAGCACAATAAGCACTTAAAGCTGGTTCTTTGCCTCAGAATCACATAGGTCAGCACCACACTAAACACTGTTGTAAGGGAGCGTCCAATGTAATAGAAGGCAACCGTTACATACGCCAGCGACAGATTATTGGCGCCAATCATTAGGGTGTAGAGCACCGTCAAAGGCAACAGCTTGCGAAATGTATCAATGTCCAGTGGATCTCCCTCCGGGAAGCTGAAGACACTCGGATACTTGCGACTGAGACGACTCATTACAAAGCAAATGACAGTGGATATGACGCACTGATACCAGGACATGAAGAGCGGAGCTCCCAAATTGACGGTTTCGCTGCTCAGCAGATGTTTGTTCACGAACACGGTCAGTATGGAGGTGCACCTGGCGCAAAAAGGCAACGTGTTAAATATCCAATCCAACCTGGCCTGATTGATTCTTACCAATACAATGCAACCACAAAAAATATCTTCAGATATTTATTCACAAGTCGATTGTGCTCTTCCAAATTTTTATACATTATGACCGAGTTCAATGCAAATTTAGGTCTTCTTACAAAAATAAATAAAATAGTTATGCGCCGTTGCACATCGCCGGCTGTCGATCAGCTGTTTACGTTACAAATTTCCCTGCTGAGAGCAGACACCCCCTCTACACACACACACACACACACACGCGCGCGCGTATAAACATTAACGAACGCATCTGTATTAGTAAGGTTAGGCTAAAATTTATTTGAAACATATCTTTGCTTTTAATATTAATATCTCATTTTCTTGTCTGTTGTATTTTATTTATTTTAATGCTTCTTAATGGTAATGAATTTCTTTTGCTTGCATATCGTTTACTTCTCCCATTCGCGGAATTCGGTACCTTCGGGCGGCTTGACAGTGACCTTCTCCTTGCAGACCTCGTTCCAGTTGGTGCTTAGAACAGTCCCACCAGATTCTGAGAAAGATTTGTTCATGGCCTTCTGCACTTCCGGGGAGGATGAGCTGTAGATCTTTTTGAATAGCTGGTTCAAGGCGGCCTCGCCCTTTGCCTCCTTTTCGTCAATTTTTTCCTCTTCGCTGACCAAACGATCCCAGTTCTTAGCCTGACGAGTGGACAGTACTTGGACGGGTTCAGCTTTTTGTTCGAGGTTCTCCCAGCGCACGCCCGTCTCTTTGGCCAATGTTATTTCAACTTTTGTTGCATAGGCTTTGTGTGAGGAGCGCTCCACAACGATTGGATGGAGCAGATGGAGCAGCAGCTCATGACCATCTGCGGTCATATGTACTTTTTGTGCCTCAATCTTGACGTCATAATTCTTCTCAATGGCGCCTTTGAGGAGGACTGTTATGACCACTTTGGTCTCTGATTGATACCAGTCAAATCGCATAGACATTCTGCGTATGAACTACCAGTCGATGTTAAACAAGATGTGTAATACGTAAATATATTTAAACAAGCTCAGTGGGACTACTGTGATGATGGGAAATATCTAGAAACCAAATAGAGTTGCCCTAAGCTTCGGAATCAGCTGTGTGGCCAATGTGGCAGCTAATAACAAATTGATGGGCTATGAAATACTAAGTAAATTTTATGCACATATTTTCAAAATATTCATTAGTTTTTATACGCCAGCGCTTAATAATGCAATTTAAAAATATTTTTTTTAGTTTATAATTTGCTAGTATTTTTTGGAGACTAAATCCTGAATTTATTTTTTTAAATGAGTATTTCTGGTCATTGGAATTGCAGCCACACTGATCTATGTAATCGTCAAAGGCGAAGGCGAGCGAGAGACGATAAATAATTTTTATTTTTGATTTAATTAACCGTGCTCGAAATGAAATTCTATTGTCGAAAAATGCTGGAAAGTGTGTTTGTGTAAGAATATAGTGTAAACACATTGCCATTGTAAAACATAAAGGCGAAAATTCCTTGAAATAATTTCCAATTGGAATTGTGCAAACAGGGTGTCTGTTTGCGTATGTGTGTGTGCGCGCTTGTGCTTGTGTATGTGCCATCCTTAATTTTTTCGCACAAATGTATGTACATATGTATGTAGCTGAACATTTTCTCTAATATACCAACAAACGAGAGCGCACACATAGCAAGGCGAAGAGAGCAGCACGGCGCACAGCCACAGCCACGGTACCCTTGCGAGAAAAGGTAAGTAATTGAGGTGTATTGTAATGTAATGTCCACCGATTCCCCGAAGGTCTGGTCTGCGCGCCACCGCGCTCTTCCAATTACATGTATGCTACTTTTTACACAGCTGTTTCCTTATAAACCCAAAAGAATAGACTGATCCCAAAACGAATAATAAAAATACCTTAAAATGTTTGCTAATTTCAAATATAAATACATATGTGTCAGAAAAGAAGCATCTAATTGTTGATGAATATTCCTCTTTTGTTAATTTAATAACGTAAGCCATGGAGATATGCGAAATGCTAAAATATGTTTATGAAAATACGCTTTTCCGACCAGTGTGCACTGTCATATTTGGGTCATTCAAGTACTGCGCCTGTCTGTTTGGTTTTTTTCTGTTGGCTCTCTGTTGCTCTGCTCTTTAATGAAGCTGCGCGCTCTCTCCCTCTCTTTCTCTCCCTCTAGTACCCATAAGTTTTCAAGTGGTATTTTTGTTGATTTAACGGCAATTGTAAAATAACGCACTAACGCAATTGTCGTATTGTCAAATTTACTTGTGCAATTTGCATTTTTTCTATTGCTGTTTAGTTTCGCTCGTGTGTGTTACTTGTGCTGGAATATAAGCGTCTGCCTGTATGTGTGTGTGTCTGTGTGTTTGCATGAGAATTTCTCATGTTCCTATAAACTATGGAGAGAAAGAGGAAGAGAGAGAGAGAGAGAGAGAGAGAGCGAGCGAGCGAGAGCGCGCGCTCGTGTGTACGATGGGCTGACTAGCAATCACAATACTGCTTGTGGGTGTGTGTGGAGGTTGCTTGTGCTGATTGTGGGTGTCGAGGTGTGGGGCTGGTGCAGAGGTATTAGGATTGCTTGTTATTCTTTCTTTGTTGTTTTATTTGTGAAAAATATCTGCTACTGCTGCTATGTATGCACTGACCGAGTGCTTGTCTGTTTCACTCTGTGTGTGTGTGTGTGTGTGTGTGTGTGTGTGTGTGTGTATGTGTATGTTTATGAGTTGAAGGTAGTAAATACATAAAAATAAAAAAGGAGAAAAAAATAATTGTGCAGTATGAGAATATGTAAAAGCAAATCAAATCTAAGCGACAACAACAACTTTGTTAAGGGCAACTTTAGTTAAGCTTTATCTTAGTCCATGTATCTACGAGCATACACGAACACTTATTAATACACATTCATATAAATACATGTTTGTGATTATCTCTTGTGCGTTTCATAATTCAACGCGGTGAGCGAGTAAATTCCAATGCTGACTAACTCATATTTCAATGCTAAACGGAAGTGCAACGTTTAAGAATCTGCGCGTTGTTCTTGTTCTCGTTCTTGTTGTTATGCTCCCATTTTCCATCAATGTCAATTCGAGAGCGACCTTGAAATTCACTTGAGCGCACATACTATATACATATAAATCCAATTGCAGAGTGTCATTGAGCTAGATTACAAACATTGGAGTGCCTGCAGATAATTGGCAACTAATCCTTATGATTATTATCTTGACTTTGTCTGTTTAGTACAACCTCAACCACCTTTCGATTGGCAAACACTCACTGAGCGACAACGTTTTGCTACCACCGCAGCCGCATTGACGCGGCGCTGCCAATTCCTGCCAAGATATAGATCGACACGATAACGAGTGCAACCCACACATTAAAACAAAGGAGGAGCAAGTGCAGCTGAAGCCATCAGCGACATGTTTACGGGTAAACTGCAGATCAAGGTGTGCGAGGCGAGCGGCCTGCGTCCAACAGATTTTCAAAAGCGTCACAATTTAACATTTGGCAAATTGGCCGATGAGCAGCTGATCGATCCCTACGTGTCCATAGATGTCGACGAGAGTCATTTTGGTGAGTTTTTTTTTTTTGGAATCGCATACATTTGATAACACTAATCGATTCATTCAATAGATCGCTCGACAACACGACCAAAGACATTCGATCCAGTATGGAACGAACAGTTCGTCCACGACGTGACCAATGCACGCAACATCAACTTGACTGTTTTTCATGATGCAGCCCTGCCACCGGATGACTTCGTCGCCAATTGTATTATACCATTCGAGGATCTGATGCAGAGCGAGTCGGGAGTGCCAGATCTTTGGGTGAGTAACGCTTACATCAATAATAGATTCCTTGCTCCAAAATTTAAACAAGAACAATTGGGATTTAATCCAAAAGAATGCCAAATTGTTGGCTTAACCCAAAGTAATTAAGTTCAATTTACTTTTCGACGTTTTAATACCTTTATAAAATGAAAGTAATGTACGAATTAACTGCTGACTTTAACCATACAGAGTCTTTATTTTATATCTTGAGGATTTCGCGATATTTTTTATGCTTAGCTTTTAACAATTTGAAAACGTATCTTTGGCACGCTTTCCATAGAAACACTCCGTTTTCGATTGATTAATCCTATTGAGCTATATGATATAGCTCGTAATAACCAAGCTTGTTGAAGTTATCTTGAAAAACAAGATTCGTATATATCTACATATATCTAGAGTGTTCCGATTATTATTATAGATGGATCGGGTTGTATTTGGTGACAAGATTATGATACTGACTGCAAGGGAAACAACTGATGAAATCCCGACTTTTATTAAAATAGGCAAATATGAAAGGTTGTTTTAACATAGTCATATATGTCAAGTACAGAGCAACAAAATATTCTCATTTTGTTTTTATTTTTTTTTAGTTTGAGTCAATTTTATTAATTTTTATTTTTTCATAATTAGTTTTTTGTAAATAAGAAAAGGTTCAGTTAACTAATTGGTTGACTTTTTAACGCTTTTAATTCGTTTTTAAATTATCTGTTATACAAATTTTCGGTCTCGGGTAAGAGCTGTCTATCGATCTCTATTATACTGTCTTGTATTGATAATAATCCTCATTATTGCAGATTAATCTAGAACCACAGGGTAAAATTCACGTAATTATCGAGCTGAAGAACCGCAATGGTAGGCATGAGCATTATGGTTAGTTATTGTCAATTTCTGGAGGGCACTATAACCTGCTCAAATTTACAGATCAAGCTAAAGCGGATGCCGAGGTGGAGCAGACTGTTGCCGTTAACAAGGAGTTCAAAGAACGCGCCGGGTTCAATCGACGCCGTGGCGCTATGCGCCGTCGTGTGCATCAGGTACGCTATACTACAGTAGTCACTCTCGTTAACTGAACAATAATTGATTTTCTTATCACAGGTTAACGGGCACAAGTTTATGGCCACGTTTCTGCGTCAGCCAACCTTCTGTTCACATTGTCGCGAGTTTATTTGGTAAGTTTAAAAAAAAAAATACCTCATTTTCACATCTATGAATGCTCTGAGCGTACTCACAGCCAGAGTGTTCATCTACAGTAACATTTTTGAGTTGTAATTACATTGATTAATATATATATACACATATATATTTATATATATATATATATATATGTATATGTATATATTTATTTCT